GCAGCTTAAGAGTTAACAGAAGGTCTTTAATGTCAAATGAACAGTTCAAAAGGCTCTTAACAGCAGAGCAAGTAAACAAAAGAGACGTGCCCTTTGGAGCCATGCTTCGTCCGTGCTTCTTCCTGAATGGACAGTGACAATGTAAACCCAAACAGGCCACAGCCCAGTGGTTTTTGTCTCGTGTCATCTTTAATTCCTACTGCGAGACTGTGCAAAACCGGAAATTCTGGCAGGCAGTTTCGCTCATCTTCCTTTAAAGAACGGATGAACCACCGACACGAGACTGTCAAGTGACATCGTTTGCGAGAGGTAAGCTGGTGAAGGAGCACCTTCTCGTACAAGTAAATCATGGCTGTTAACCGCACATACTGCTTTTAGAACACTTGTATTGTAACGATTGGCACGGAGCGCCAGCAGTCTCCTGTCTTCTGTATTTCAGAAACTAACGCACCGTTGGCACTCCCAGCCTATTGCCCTCTGTGGCCCATTCGATGTCATGCAGAAGATAAGGCATCCAATACAGAGAGACGCGGATGAATTTGGTCCCTGGGGGTCATAGAAAAGAAAGGTAGACGGGCATGGCACCGCGAGTTTGTGATGAGGCACAGGCACGCATATGAATGAATATCTATACTGAGGCCTTTGAAATGTATAGCATCAGGATCCTACCAAAATACACAACTGATAGCGTCCACCCGATGTCTAGAGACAGTGTACGGCCTCAATTCGCAACGGTCCTGTGCCAACTTATACTATTGAAATGGCTGCTTGGGCTGCGTCGGCTGCTATACTTTTTACTGTGAATAACCACACAACTATCTTAAAAGTGTACGATCATGATCAGAGTTTTACCAGCAAGATGCACAGCCGGCAGTACCCTAACTTAAGTTGATCTCTACCTTTTTTTGGAACTTTATATGGTTTAGAGGTGTACTGCAAGACATCCAAGAAGAAGCTTATGGAAACACTAAGACTTTCCTAGCTCCTCAGAATACACAGAAGTAGGCGCACATCCTAGGTAAAGATGCTTCCAAGGTCTAACTTTGAGACATTGTTGATCACGATCCAGAGGGAGATGTAGGTGCCCCCTTCAAATTATTCTCCATTACTGTTTCCTCAAACCCTCCACCCAGGTGCCTCCAGTTCCACAGGTGAACTGCGTTCTCTCCACTGCTGCCAGTCTGCACTCCGAGCTGCATCCTGCGAAGCAGTATCCGAAACCCATGGGTCTGTGAATCCTTGGAACTCATCGCTGGAAGTTGGAGCATTAACCACATCCAAAACCTCCTGAACCCTGGTCCAGTCCAGCTCTTCATCCTCACTGTCAGACTCATCGCTATCTGCTACGTCTTTAAGACGCTTGGAAATGGATTCCTCATCACTGTCTGAGCTGCGTGCTACTCGCTTTACACCACGGTAATCCTCCACCTCCATTTCCTCACGAGTAAACCCCTGAAAGTCTTCCTCATCAGTAGACTCTAAGAACAAGTCCCTAATGCGCTTCAGCTGTTGCTGAGCCTCTTCCTCTTCCAAGCCTCGTTTCCTCCTACTAGCACTAGTAGATACATGAGGCACACGCTGAGTTACAACAGTAGTCATTAGAGGCAGTGAGAGTAAAAAATCCTTGAGACAGAGATAACAGAAATTCTTTTGCCCAGAGAACAAAAAGGGAGTTAACCAGCTGGAAGGGCAGGATGTTTACTTTGTCTGTATGTTTAGTCCTGTACTGTGTTAGTCGCCATCTTTCATTATCAACATGTAGTCGCTTGTGAATAGACACTTCTAGTAAAGCTATTTTGGAACCGAAGAAGAATGCTGTGTGATAATTGAGTCTGTGTATTTTGGAAAACTCACGCTTGCTGTGCTAGACCAGAGGGTCTAACTCTGACAGTGTCTAGATCTAGGGAAGTCCTGCTCCTCATGCTCTATTCCGCTTTGGTCAGACCACACCTGGAATATTGTGTCCAATTCTGGGCACCACAATTCAAGAGAGATATTGACAAGCTGGAATGTGTCCAGAGGAGAGTGACTAAAATGATCAAGGGTCTGGAGAACAAGCCCTATGAGGAGCGGCTTAAGGAGCTGGGCCTGTTTAGCCTGAAGAAGAGAAGGATGAGAGGAGATATGATATTGTTGTTGTTCATTCGTTCAGTCGTCTCCGACTCTTCGTGACCTCATGGACCAGCCCACTCCAGAGCTCCTGTCGGCCGTCACCACCCCCAGCTCCTTCAAGGTCAGTCCAGTCACTTCAAGGATGCCATCCATCCATCTTGCCCTCTTCCTTTTGCCTTCCTCTTCCTTTTTCCTTCCACTTTCCCCAGCATAATTGTCTTCTCCAGGCTTTGCTGTCTCCTCATGATGTGGCCAAAGTACTTCAACTTTGTCTCTAGTATCTTTCCCTCCAGTGAGCAGTCGGGCTTTATTTCCTGGAGGATGGACTGGTTGGATCTTCTCGCAGTCCAAGGCACTCTCAGAACTTTCCTCCAGCACCACAGCTCAAAAGCATCGATCTTCCTTCGCTCAGCCTTCCCGAAGGTCCAGCTCTCACATCCGTAGGTGACTACAGGGAAGACCATGGCTTTGACTAGGCAATGGATCTTTGTTGCCAGTGTGATGTCTCTACTCTTGACTATTTTATCGAGACTGGACATTGCTCTCCTCCCAAGAAGAAACGTCTTCTGATTTCCTGGCTACAGTCTGCATCTGCAGTAATCTTTGCACCTAGAAATACAAAGTCTGTCACGGCCTCCACGTTTTCTCCCTCTATTTCCCAGTTGTCAATCATTCTTGTTGCCATAATCTTGGTTTTTTTGATGTTTAGCTGCAACCCGGCTTTTGCGCTTTTTTCTTTCTCTTTGGTGAGAAGGCTCCTCAGCTCCTCCTCGCTTTCGGCTTTCGAGTGGTGTCATCTGCATATCTGAGGTTGTTAATGTTTCTTCCAGCAATTTCCACCCCAGCTTTGCATTCATCAAGCCCCGCACATCGCATGATGTGTTCTGCATACAAGTTAAAAAGGTTGGGTGAGAGTATGCAGCCTTGCCATACGCCTTTCCCAATCTTGAACCAGTCTGTTGTTCCGTGGTCAGTTCTGACTGTTGCGACTTGGTCCTTTTACAGATTCCTCAGGAGAGAGACAAGGGGGCTTGGGATGCCCATCCTGGAGAACAAGCCCTATGAGGAGCGGCTTAAGGAGCTGGGCATGTTTAGCCTGAAGAAGAGAAGGCTGAGTGGAGATATGATAGCCATGTATACACATGTGAAAGGAAGCCACAGGGAGGTGCACTCCTCTCAGCCTTCTCTTCTTCAGGCTAAACATGCCCACCTCCTTAAGCTGCTCCTCATAGGGCTTGTTTTCCAGACCCTTGATCATTTTAGTCGCACTCCTAAAATGATCTTTCCACTTCTCCTCTATTGATTCTTCCAGCTTCCAAAGAAGTCTCCTTTCCCCGTCGGATTCTCTCTCAATTTGCTTTCCCTTCTTTCCGTTCTTCTTGTCTTTTATCTCACTCCTTCCACTCTTGAGCAGGTGGACACTCCTTAAATTCCACACTCAGCTGGGGGTGAAGGTTGGGCATACCAGGCTGCTAAAGAGGGGAGAGATGGGGGAAAACAGAGAAGAAGAAGACCTGGGGAGGAGAGGAGAGAGAATGCAAGAAAGAGAGCCCAGGACAAGGAGGTATTGCAGAGAAGACGTGGCATTGGGGGAAAGGGAGGGGGAAGAGAAATGAAGACAAACAGGATCTCACCACCACATAAAAGGAACGTGGGGCAGAGGAAGGTGGGAGAAAGTTGCTGCCTTTCCATGGTTGAGGTAAGCCTTACCAGCTCTGGAGGGGGGCCTCTTTCTTTGAGTGAGGGGTGTCAGGGATTTCTGAGGGGCACCATTGGGTTGGGCAGGCTGGGTGTGATACCAGATACCCCATGCCCTGCCTGTGGTGCATCTCTGAATGCCCACACACAGTCTCACATTTTCTCAAGATCATGTTCCATGCACCTGGCGAACATTGGTGCCCTTCCAGACTTGCCATATCATTGGCTCTTAGTGTTCCTAAATCTGAGCATCTTTAATGTGTTGCAGTGATCCTGGCTGTTCTAGCAACATTCTCTCCTGATATTTCGTCTGCATCTATGGTAGGCATCCTCATGGTTTCCTCCTTTCTGTTGAAATTGTCCACATGCTTATGGGTTTCAGTGGCTTCTCTGTGTAGCTTGACATGGTGGTTGTGAGCGTGGTCCAGCATTTCTGTGTTCTCCAATAATCTACTGTCTCCAGGTTGGTCCATCAGGTGCTCTTCTATGG